GGATTCTGTCCGCCTGTCCTCGCCGCAGCCCAGGGAGGTCGTGGTAACTAGCATCAGTGAGGACTGAGGACAGCGACGAGCAGGACACCCAGCAGCCTGGCTCCGATCCACGTCCATGCTCTAAACCACAGCTGCAGAAGCCCGTGTGGTTGGCTGGAGATAGAAGGGAGCAGAGACAGGCTGCCGGAGCCCTCCGGGGCCCCCAACCTGGTCAAGGATCGGGGACGGGGATGCTAGAGCCAAGTTCTTTAGGGACGAAGAGCAGTGAGCCTGTGAGTCAAGCAAAGGCGACAAGATGACAGCCAACGGGCATTGCCCATGTGAAGCCTTGGAGGCTAGACAGGTCGGGCACAGCTACAGCAGTCTTCAGTATGACAGGGACGGGGTCCAAGAGGAGGTGGCCTGGGACAGGAGAGGGCCCTGCTAGCAGTGTGGCATGACTCCTGTGGGCACTCGGAGCCGAGTGGGGTGGTGCCAGGGTCAGATCTGAGGCTGCTCTCGGAATCAGATCGAGACAGCCCAGCTGGAGATTAGAGTCAAGCCAGGCCGCTGGAGCGGTGCTGGGCTGGAGGTGACTGGTTCTCCCCGCGCCCGGGTGCTGGGGCAGCTGCGCGGGACCAGGGCTGGGAGGCTGCTGCACGGACCTGCCCCAGTCCTAGCCACACTCTGAGTTCTCCCGCTCAGGTCGGGAGCCCAAGGCCTGGCTGGTGAGCATTTAATGAGAATCCACACACAGGGCTTAAGTTAGGCGCGACAACAGTAGATGCTCAGAGGTCTGCCAGGGTTAAAGAGTTCATGCTGGTTCTTGCTGGTTTGAGATCATTATTCCCATTTGACAGGTAAGGAACCGGTGCCCTGACCAAGACTGCACTGCAGGTGACTGACTGGGGAGGATGTTCACCCAGATGCCCCTGCCCCGTGGGTGTCTTCAGTGCGAGTCTGGAGACGAGGAACGCTGGTGGCCGTCCCAGGCCAGCAGGGTCTGGGGACCCACAAAAAAGGTGTACACTCGGGCTCTGCCCCCACACAGTTCAGTCCACTGGGGGAGGCACCACCCCACTGCTCATGCATCCTGGAGCTGGTCAGACACACTCAGGCTGCGACCCCAGCCTGGCCAAGCCGCCGGCGGTCACTGTCCCTGGCCAGGCACCTGCCCCTGTAGGACTGGTGGGGTGGTGTCTCCCCATTTGGTGCCAAAGGGTTCCGGGATGCCGGGGGCGGTGATGGGACAGTAGGTCAAGGAGAGGCTGCGAGGCCACAGGCCCAGTGAAGTCCCCTTGAGGCCCCTGGCCTGTGGGGGCAGCGGGGTTTCCACCGGAGCACACAGCTCCTCTAGGAAGAGAGCAGCCCCCTGTGGAGGGGGTGGAGTGGAGGGAGGGGGATGGGCCGGCAGATGCAAATGAAGGTCGGGCTGCTTTCCCAGGGAAATGGTCATTTCCATAGCCGCCCAGCCCCCTGGGGCCGGGGGCTCAATTCCTTGACAGTCGGCGGATGGCAGCTCAGCACCGGCCTACACGCATGCTCACAGCCCCTCGTTAGGAGTCGTCTGCACTTATCTGGTCCTTATGTCTTTAATGGGGTGTTACACTTCTCTCCAAAGATGTGAAGCGTGTCTTCTGAGATTCTTTCCTGACCCCAAAGCTGCAAAGATGCGTTTCTTTTCTGCTGATGTTCCCTTGTAGGGACGCAGTTGATTTTAGTGTGTTGATCTGGGATCTGGCCCCTTGAGACTCCTGGCAGCTCCAGAGGGTGGTCTGTACGGGAATGTTTGTATCTGCTGGAAGCTTCCCTGCCTGTCTTTTAGGAGGATCACGTTTTCTTCTGCTGGTTTGAATGGTACCTACCTTCGATTCTCTTAGAGGCTTCCTCTGACCTGCTAAGTTGTATTGACACTTTCTCTCTGTTTAAGTCTAACCGAAGTCATCTTTCCTCTTGTACTAGTGCCCCCTGCACCCCCAAACCTTTTCCCTTCTCCGTTCGAACTAGCAAAGTTGGCGAAATGAGTAGCGGGAGGTCAGCGCCCCTGGCTGCCTGGGACCAGCGTTGGCCACTTTCCTCAGCCACCCCACCCCCTTCAAAGGCTAATAAGACAACTCTGGTTACAGAAATGGCTTCAGTCGGCCAGTGTGGCTCAGCGGTTGAGCGTCCATCCATGCACCAAGAGGTCGCCAGTTCGATTCCTGGTCAGGGCACATGCCCAGGTTGTGGGCCCGATCCCCAGTGGGGGGCATGCAGGAGGCAGCCAGTTGACGTTCTCTCTCATCAATGTTTCTGTCTCTCTCCCCCTCACTTCCTCTCTCTCCAAGATCAATAAAGGAAAAAAAGAAATGGCTTCACACTACACCGATTACGTGAACAGCTGCGTTGCAGACAGATCCAGATTCACGGTCACCAAGTGCTCTCCCGGAACTAACGTGTGACGATCATGCCCCCAGAGTGGCCCTGTGCTGGGCGTTTAAATTGTCTTTTTTTTTTTTTTTGGTGGTATATGTCCTTAGCGGGAACCGAACCCAAGACTCTCTGGTCCGCAGGCCGACGCTCAACCGCTGAGCCAATCTGGCCAGGGCTGGACGTTTAAATTGTGACAGCATCTGAGGGCTTTTAGACCTGTCACGGTGCCTGTCCCCGTGCATTTGTGCTGGCCTGATGCTTGGGGTGTCCCTGGGTCCTGGGCCTACATGCTTTCTAAAAAACTGTTTCTTTATTGATTTTAGAGAGAGGGGAAGGGAGAGGGAGAGAGAGACAGAAACATCGATGAGAGAGAACATCGACTGGCCGCCTCCTGCATGCCCCTCACTGGGGATTGGGCCCACAACCTGGGCATGAGTCCTGACTGGGAATCGAACCGGCGACCTCTTGGTGCCTGGGTCAACGCTCAACCACTGCGCCACACCGGCCGACTGGGCCGCCGTGCTTTTAACGTTTTGCCTGCAGATCCCCTCAGAGGTCGGCAGTGCCCCTCCCCCCTTTGGTGTGGGTGCGAGGCCTGACCTGCCAGCTCCTCGCAGGGGGAAGGTGCTGTCCTGACAGGTGCAGGTGGCATATGTCAGGCCGCCGGCTCTTTGTGGCCATTGTGGCTGTGTTTACATGTCTGACTTCTCCAGCCCAGCTCCCGGATCCTGCCTAGCTCCTTTCCCGTTGGAACAGATGTAAGACTCTGCCGTTTTCCTCGTAGGAAGATCAAACAGCCATCTCTCTCTGAGACACATTCTGGGCATTTATTCCCTAGAACAATGCTGTCCTTATGCGGTCCCCTCCTCAAAGGCCAGCGTTCCCCGACCCCTCATGCCTGTCTGCGCCAGTGATGTCACGACTTGTCCATCTCTTTGCATGAACTTTGGGTGCATTGTTGACACTAACCTGTCTAGACTCGCCCAAGACACCTGGAGAGTCTGCAGCTTCCGTCTGTCCCCATGAGCCCCGGCGTTGCCTTCGCCCCCTGCGCTGTCACCCTGTAATGCTGAAGCCAGTGGTGAGCACACTCTTGTCAACCTCAGTGTCCCCGCAGGGTGCCCACGCATGTCCTGCTGCCGTCCACCCGCTCCAGGAGCGGACAGATTTGGGGCTCTGTTCCTTTGTTCAGTGCAGGCAAATGTGCAGAGTTAGACATTTAAAGAAACCCAGGACATGACTGTAAGAAAAGAATAAGTAAACACAGAGGTCATAATGGTTAGCGCCCAGTCCCTCAGTGTCCCAGGTCTGCCCCAGGGTACTTGTAGGACGTGCGTCCCGTCCTCCAGCAACCAAGCGAGGGACTGCTGGTGCCCTACAGACAGAACAGCGGCGTCACAGCTGTGTGGCAGAGTTGGGATTCGAACTCAGACCCTTTGGTTCCAGAGACACATTTTTCATCCTATTCTGGACCTAAGGCTGTCTGGTAAATTATGTTCGACCAGGTCACAGAGTCTCGCCCAGTTATCACAAGCGATGGTGTAACATTTACTGATGTGGGAATTCACAGTTGTAATAGTTACGTAGACCTTTGGCTGCAAGGAACAGGAAAGTCTGTGAGTGGTGATTTGAACCAATTAGGTTTTTATTTTTCTTACACATTAATCAGTCAGTGGCTTGTATTTTTTCTGCTGTTCCAGCAGTGCCATTCGAGAGCCAACTCCCTACCCATCTGCTCTGTACCCATAGCTATTCTTGTACCCAACACCTGTGTCATAAGATGGCTGCTGCAGCTCCAGCCCTCACTTCCAAGTTGAAGGCCGCCAGGCGGGAGACTAGCTGCCCAGCCGTGTCTGCTTTCTTTCAACCCCCACATCAGACTTCAGAGACGACATTGACCAAGACTGGGCTACATGCCCACCACTAGCTGCAAGACATGCTGGGAAAATGAGGAACAGGAATGAGTGTCATGACTGGCTTAGATGAACAAGGATTCAGGGCCACCCCGAAGAAAATGGGTCCTATTAGCAGGGGGAGGGGAGGGGGATACGAGCCTCGCCAAGACAGCGAAGAAAGGGGGTTATCGCACTGCTAAGGAGTGATCCCAGTTTTGAAATTGTGTGTGGTGTGCAGAAGTGCTTAGAGACAAAGACTGGAAGATTAGCAGGTCCCTCCGGGCACTGGGGATGGGACTGCTCAAAGCAAACAGCAACGCCACGGAATTGCTCGCCAGGTGGAGCCCAGCCTTGGTCCACTATTTTGACAACAGACGCCTGGGTTTTTCAGTTTGCCAGCTGGGCTCTTGAGGGCCAGTATTAGAGCCTTTCTTATATTTATACTCTGCTTCTTTTTTTTCACAAAGAGAAAAGACAAGATCCCTTATGAATCATCTCCAGATCCCTGACTTTAGAAATGTGTGATGGAGAACAGAGAGGCACAGTGACTTGCCCGGAGGCACACAGCCAGCTTGTTGCAGAATTCATGCCCGGGGAGCTGGGTGGGGGAGGCTGATGATGGAAGAGTGGGCGAGGGCAGCGGTAAGGTGACTGAGAGAAACTCCAGGTCATTGTTCTGGGCATCGGTCAGTCTGTGATGTCTTTTTTCTCCAGGGAAGAAATGTCTCAGGCAGGACCCCTCTCCAGGAACCTCATTTTGTGCACCTTTCTTCAGGAGCACGGCCTGCAAGCTGTGGTGGTCCCCGGCATGACCAGTCTCCTCCAGTACAATCCTGATCCCCTCGGGTAGGTCCCCAGCCCTCTGTGGGTCCCCACCCCCATTCCTGGTCAGTGACCTTTCAGGGGCGTGGTTAGAAGAGCAGACCTTCTGGGTTCTGGGCCGGGCTCCAACGTGGAAAGTCCCCAGGTGTGGTCATGGAGGCACGTGTCCTGGGCAGGGAAGCTTTGCCCTGATACCAGTTCACCGCGGGGCCGCAGAGCACCCAGCATGTCCACAGCCCCAGGAAGGACCTGGGGCGCCAGCCAGCAAACGGCTCAAACTTGTGGCCTTGAGAGCCTCCTGGTCCCCATGGCCATGATCACCTCATCAAGGCCTCTTAAGAGATGGATCCGAAGTAGCCTGAGGCCTCTTCGGACTCAGCGGCAGCTCCTGGCCCGGCTGTTAAGCAGCGAAGAGAGGCTGTTCCCAGGGTCAGTTCTGGGTTCTGGATGCTCCCTGCTGCTCGGGGCCTCAGGATTCTCATAGTCCTTAGGTCCTGGACTTGGGGGTCGGGGCTGGTTGGGATTTTAGGGCTGGAGGAGCCCCCAAATGTGTCTTTTCCCTCCACACTGCTCCCTTTGTAGATGACGAGGGGACGTTCAGCCTGGCACAGTTTTCCTGAGGTCCCACAGGGTGTTGCGTACAGGTGGGACCTCAGCCCCCTCCCTGATTTCCAGCCAGCCCTTCCCCCCGCCCCCTCGCTCCCGGAGTAGAGAGAGCTTGGGCCCGGAGACAAGCAGGTGGCCTCCTGGCCTGGGAATTCCCGGGCAGCTGCCTAGTCACCGGGATGGAATGTGTGGGCAAACCCCCGAGCAGGGCCGAAACCCGCCGGGTGCTCAGGGGGCAGGGGGCAGGACAGAACGTCAGGCTGGGAGGTTGGCTGGGAGTGTACGTCTCTTCCCCGTGAAGGACTCCATTCAGTCAGAGTGGAGGCCCAGATGGGCTGCTGGCACCTCCTTTCTCAACGAGGCGATGACACAGAGGTGGTGTCAGGATTGGGGACCAGGGACAGGTCCCAGAGCTCCTCCCCATGAGGAGGGCAAGTTGAGACCCTGTTAGAAGCCAGCCTGTGATCCAAGGGGGCTCAGAGCCCCCCGCCTGCCCAGCTCCATTGCCCAAAGGGTGTCCCTGTGCTCTGCCCCCGCTGCGTGCTCAGACCACACCCAGAAGCCCCCTGCCTTCCCACGCTTCTGGGAGTCCCCGTGTCTGCAGCGAAGTGGGAGCCAGAGGAGAGGCGTGGGGAGGTTCCCTGGCCCTCGCCCTACTCTGCGCCCCGTCACCCTGTGGCCCGGTTGGCTGGGTGGGTCTGGGTTGAGGGTCACCGGCATGACCCACCCCTGACTTCCTACACCGTCCTCACAGTGACATCCCTCACGAGGTGGCCATGCGGCTGGCCTTCATCGGGGACGAGCTGGAAGTGCGATGGATGCTGCCCCGCGTTGCCCAGGTGCCCTGGATGGCCGTGTACAGGTGACCAGCCCCTGCCCGGCGCCAGCTCCCGGCCGGTCTGCTGCCCTGGTTCTTCCCGCCTCGGCGCAGACAGACCAGCCCTCCCTCCCCCCGGGGAGCCAAGGGTCTTGGTGCAAGAGGACAGGGCATGTCTGTGAGCTCAGATCGGGGTGTCCGTGTGTCCTCGGCAGAGACGCTCCGTGTCCACGGGTTGCTGGCATCCCTGTGGGTTCTCAGGCCTCACAGACTTGCTCCGGGTGGGGACTGGGAACCTTACTCGAGACCAGGACCGAAATGGACGTGGATGTGGTCCCTTGGTCTCCAGGGAGGCAGCCTGCTTTTGGGGAGCCCGGGCCTCTATCCAAACATAGCTTCTCTAGAGGGAGGACCTGCACCCTTGGACCCACCTCTGGGCCTGTGGACAGTGGAGCGTTTTCCAGGCGCCAGTGGGCTCAGGCGGGTAGTGGGGGGCAGAAAATCAGATGAATTGAGGACCAGACACGACCCGTGGAGAGAGGCCCTCGTTGCAGAGCCTCCCAGAGAAGGGGGTGAGGGTGGCCGGGGAGAAGGAGATGTGCCCACTTCCCCCAGAGCTGCCAGCTGAAACAGAGGCCATCTCTGCCCTGTTTGTGCAGTAACAGCCCGGTCCCTCTCCCATTTGTCTTACAGCCTGACTTTCACCTACAACCAGACAGCCCTGAGGAATGTCCTTAGAAGTTTTATGAGTGGTCTCATTACCCTCAGGGGGAACAGAAGGTTCTGGAGCTTCCTGATCCTCAGGGACAGGGTAAGCCTTTGCCACAGTCCCCACCACTCCCTGCTGTATTGCCTGCTTCACCTATTTCTTCTGTCCGGTCCCAGAGGCCGCTGGGGTTGAGACTCTGGGCTCATTGTGCCCAGATTAGCTTCACACCTGTGCCCACGGTGTCCCCTCAGCCGGGAGCACCTTCATCTGGCAGGCATGTCGGGTTCCGTCTCCCCTGCCCAGGGCAGGTGCCTCTTGTCCTGATCACTGCCCATTCGTCCCTCACACTTCACCCTGCCATCCCAGGTCCCAGCAGACGAGAGCCTGGAGGCCTGGCCTCCCTCCTCTGCCTGTCCTCGGGACGCTTCCCTCTACCCCTCCTGCTCTCATCTTTCTGGACCCTCACCCCAGGCCCTCGGTTCCGAGCGAGGTACTCTCGCTCCCCCACCTCACCGCCCCTCTCACGCCCACAGCGCAGGCTCAAGAACAGGAGGCGAGTTGTAGGAGCCAGCCCCTGCCGGCTGGCCGTCCATCCTCACCTCTCCCCACCTTCACCCCACAGGTGTCCCCCAGCTGGGGGCGCAAGCTGTCCCTGCTGCTGCTGCTGGCGCTGGTCCTGGACCTCCTCCATTGACACGCTGCTGGACAGCGCGGGGCGGGGCCGGCCCTCCCCCGGGATCGCCGCCCTGGAGGTGGCCTTGTTGCTTTTGTTGTCTTTTTAACTGTTTTCTTATGGTCCCTTTTTTATATTTAAATTCTGAGTGCTGGGACACTCCGGAGGTTTCATACTGTTTTTTTGTTTGTACTTTTTTGTAAGAGAAATGAATTACACCTCTGGGGTCTTTATAGTTACTGCTCTGCGGTCCCCAGAAGGAGCCTTCCTCTCTGGGCGGGTCAGGGAGCAGGCGGTGGGGGAGTGCTGGCCACACCCTGTCTGTGATGCCCACAGCAAGAGGGCACCTGCTGGAGTCCAGTTCTGAGGGCTGAGAGCTCAATAAAATGTTGGTTTCCATCTGTCTGGGGTCCTCTCTGGGGGTTCGCAGTGTGGGCTCCATCTTGCCCCTTGGAGGGGAATGATGGGGGGTGGGTGCGCTCCTAGCCACTTGCCCGGTCATGGCCTCCGGGCTCCAGTGCTGCTGGGACCCACAGTACTGGCGTGCTCCCGCCCTGTGGGGCCTTGGCGCCCGAAGACCAATGGGGATGATTTCCTTCGGGCGGCTTGTCGTACCGCCCCTCCCCGTCCCCCCCCCACCATGTGCTCACCCAGCACTGCCCGCTAGGGGTGCACCTGCCGGCACTCGGGAGGTGGGAGGACGCTGGCAGAGGGCAGCCGGTGGTTCTGCATGTTGCAGAAAGGCCCACCCAGGAGTTAAAACCAGCTGCAATCTGAGTCCATGGCCCTGTGAGAAATCACTCTCCGCCCCCGGAGGGAAGGACCCGAGGCCTGTCCCGCCCAGGGAGGGGACGGGTGACATGATCACCAGTGGCCTCAGGATCCCTAAGGAAATTCCACACAGTGCTCCCCTCCCCCTCCCACAGCAGTTCCACACAGTGCTCCCCTCCCCCTCCCACAGCAGTTCCACACAGTGCTCCCCTCCCCCCACAGCAGTTCCACACAGTGCTCCCCACCCCCCCACAGCAGTTCCACAGTGCTCCCCTCCCCCCACAGCAGTTCCACAGTGCTCCCCTCCCCCTCCCACAGTTCCACACAGTGCTCCCCTCCCCCCACAGCAGTTCCACAGTGCTCCCCTCCCCCTCCCACAGTTCCACACAGTGCTCCCCACCCCCCCACAGCAGTTCCACAGTGCTCCCCTCCTCTCCCACAGTTCCACACAGTGCTCCCCACCCCCCCACAGCAGTTCCACAGTGCTCCCCTCCCCCTCCCACAGTTCCACACAGTGCTCCCCTCCCCCCACAGCAGTTCCACAGTGCTCCCCTCCCCCTCCCACAGTTCCACACAGTGCTCCCCACCCCCCACAGCAGTTCCACAGTGCTCCCCTCCCCCTCCCACAGTTCCACACAGTGCTCCCCTCCCCCCACAGCAGTTCCACAGTGCTCCCCTCCCCCCACAGCAGTTCCACACAGTGCTCCCCTCCCCCCACAGCAGTTCCACAGTGCTCCCCTCCCCCCACAGCAGTTCCACACAGTGCTCCCCTCCCCCCACAGCAGTTCCACAGTGCTCCCCTCCCCCTCCCACAGCAGTTCCACACAGTGCTCCCCACCCCCCACAGCAGTTCCACAGTGCTCCCCTCCCCCCACAGCAGTTCCACAGTGCTCCCCTCCCCCTCCCACAGCAGTTCCACAGTGCTCCCCTCCCCCCCACAGCAGTTTCACAGTGCTCCCCTCCCCCTCCCACAGCAGTTCCACAGTGCTCCCCTCCCCCTCCTACAGCAGTTCCACGGTGGCCCCAGGGCACTGCAGCAGGGTGGATGTGACCCCTCCGTCCTGGGGCCTGGGGGAGGCTGCTGGGGACATTGAAGCACCTTCTCAGAGCAGGTGACAGGCTGGACAGAGGGGCTCATCCTTTTCTGTTTCAGGGGCTTTGCACAAGGCGCCTGGTCAGGGCAGGATATCTAGAGATAAGGCAAGATGGAAGCTCAGAAAGGAGGTGCCCAGGGCAACCCGCTTCTGCCAGGGCAGGAGTGCAGCGCCCAGTTCCAGGCAGACCAGGGAGTCAGGGTTCTCCACTGACCGGGGACCCAAAGATGGGGCAGGGGCCCCCCACCCAGCCCTGGGCTGTCATGGAGGCAGAACCCTGCCTGCCCACACCTTTGGGGGCCTCTCCTGCACCACTGCCCTTTGCTTGCTGTTCCTCCCCCTCCTGCGGCTTGGAGCATGCGTGGACCCAGGGCACCCTTCCCAAGGAGCGGCCAGGCCTGCCACCCTGCCCTGCTCCACTGCCTCTCCAGCTCCCCCCAGTGGCCTTCTGGAGCTGGCGGACTCCGGACTCCGTCCTGCCTGAGCACAGCCCTGCCTGGAGGTGGTCTCCCAGGACCACCTGCTGCTCTGCGCGCTCAGCAAAGATGCAAACTGGCACTTTTTTTTTTTAATCCTCACCTGAGGACATTTTTCCTTTTTTTTTTTTGTTCAGATAGAGTGGGAGGGAGAGAGAGGAAGAGAGAGAAACATTGACGTAAAAGGGATACATCGAGTGGCTGCCACCCGCACGACCAACCAGGGCCAGGGACAAACTGCAACTGAGGTGCATGCCCTTAGTGGGAACCGAACCCGGGTCTCTCTGGACCACAGGCTGACGCTCTAACCGCTGAGCCAAACCGGCCAGGGCTAACTGAGAAGCCCAGGGTTTGACATGAGTCTATGTATTAACATTGAAAGACAAACGCAGAGGTTTATTCCCAATAAATCCTGCCCACTGTCACCAAAGAATGAAAAAGCCACCCAAGAGGCATAGGCTCACTCATTTAATACCGACGTGGGAGCTGCTTCTGCAGGGCGCCTGTGCCCGGCTCCCGGTGTGGGCGGCACAGACGCCCTGAGCCAGACCAGGTCACGGGCAGGCAGCAGGCACTCAGTACTTGCTGAAGGGATGACTTGGGGGAAGGGAGCAGGCCCTCGTTGGCCCTCCCTGCACCCTCCCACCTTGCTAAAGGACCCCGTCCCTGCCAGGGCAGAGGCCACGCCCGGGCACACAGCTGGCACGCGACACCATCTCTTGGGTCAGTCAGTCAGGTGGGACTGGGTCTCCCAACCCTGGGTGACAGCTGGGTGGAAGGGCCGCGCAGGCCAGCCGGGGCCTGTGGACTGAGGGCAGCTGCAGGGACAGTGGAGCCCCGCCTCCATCCCCAGCACTGGCCTGCCTTGCGGCCATGCCAGGGTGCCCACAGCACCCGCCACGCCGGGAGTGACGGCCACAGGCCTGCCGGCCGGGCTGCCTCACATCCTGGAGCCCTGCGGGGGCCACGTCTGCCCATGCAGCGCCGGGAAGGCGAGCGAGGACCCCCGGTCTCCTCACAGAACCCGCGCTGCCGTGTCCTTTCCCCAGCGTCCACACGTGTTTCGAGAAGTGGACTGTGGTATACAGAAACACTCCCTTTCGGGGCTTCACAGTCCCTCCCGGTCACTCTGGCTAGGAAGGCGGGGCAGGAACGGCCTCCCAGGAGGACAGGCTGGCTCGGTCCCTGCAGCACCCAGCCCGTGGTCCCGGGACATCTACGGGTCCTGGCCCGGGGCCTCGTCCGCCTCCAGCACCTCCACGTGGCTGTAGGACCTCCAGGCCTGCAGGTTACAGCTCTTCAGGATGGCTCCCAGCTGCTTCCCAGGTCCCACCTCGAAGGTTTTGGGGAACTCGGTGCCCTTTTTCCTCTCGTATAACGCGTGCATCGTCTGCTCCCACTTCACCGGGGAGACCACCTGCCGCGCCAGCAGCTTCCGGATGTGCTTCGGGTGCCGGTACGGGTGCCCGTCGACGTTGGCGTGCACGGAAACCAGGGGCTGCTTCACGTCGATCGCCTGTAAGACTCGCGCCAGGGGCTCCAGGGCTGGCTCCATGAGGCGGGTGTGGAAGGCGCCGCTGACTGGCAGCATCCTGGTGCGTCTGAAGTGATACCTGGAGGAATTCTTCTGGAGAAACTGCAGAGCCTGGAAGGAGACAGAAGGAGGGCTGAGCCAAGCCAACCTGCAAACCAGCAGTGACAGGCTCAATTCACCTCTTTTTTTTGATTAATCCTCACCAGAGGATATTTTTCCATTAATTTCTAGATAGAGCGGAAGGGAGAGATGGGAAGAGAGGGAGAGAAGGGGCAAAAGAGAGAGAAACATTGATGTGAGAGAGACACATCGATTGACTGCCTCCTGTACCTCACCAGCTGGGGCTTGGGATTGAACCTGCAACCCAGACACGTGCCCTGGACCAGGAATCAAACCCGCAACCCTTTGGTCTGCAAGGTGATGCTCTAACTGCTGAGCCAAACTGGCCAGGGTCACCTCTTTATTCCAGTTAAAATCACTCCTATAGCCAGTGTCTCGAGAGTCCTCCTCTGGGGATCTCACATGCACGTGGTCCCCCAGGCAGGTGACCAGTGTCAGCTGAAGGATCTGAGGCTGGAACCCCGGGACCTGGGTGCTATCCCAGCACCACCAGTCACTAGCTCGGTGAACCCGGGTAAATCACTCGGCCTCTCTGAACATTTCTTTCCATCTATAAAAGGAACACAATTTCATCGACTTCACAAGGTTGCTGGGAAGTGATCAGATCGGAGGTGTGTGTCTGATACACAGAACAGTACTATGCAGCCCTGGCCGGATTGGCTCAGTGGTGAGAGTGTCGGCCTGGGGACCAACGAGGCCCAGGTTCAATTCCAGCCAAGGGCATGTGCCTCGGTTGTGGTTCGTCCCCGGCCCTGGTCGAGGTCGCACGGGAGGCAACCAGTCAATGTCTCTTTCTCTCTGTATCTCTCTCCTTCTCTCCCTCCCTCCTAATCTGTCTAAAGATAAATGGAAAAATATCCTCGGGTGAGGATTCAAAAAAAAAAAAAAGCCCTGGTGGATGGATCTCAGGTGGTTGGGTGAAGAAGGTTGCGGGCTCGATCCCCGGGGGGGGGGGGGCAGGAGGCTGCCAATCAATGTTTCCCTCTCACATTGATGTTTTTCTTTCTCCCTTTCCCTTCCTCTCTAAAATCAATGTCTTTTTTAAAAAAGCACTATCTAATGTGTTTGTTTTCCATCATTATCCTGCCACCCCTCACCATCTGTAATAAGCCTGTTTACAAGTTGCCACATAAGCTTCAACACAAACATCCAGGAGACTCCAAGCTACTTTGCAGCGCAGGGTCTTTCCACCAGAACCCCCCTGGGGCTTCTCTTCGGAAAAAAGAGCTCGCTCCCTGAGTTCAAGCCTGCCCCTGGTCTCCAGAGCTGACAGGCCCAAACCAGGAACTGTTTGCCAACAACATGATTTGCAAATGCAGATTTTTAAGAAATATATATTTTTAGCCCTGGCCGGTTTGGCTCAGCGGTTAGAGCGTCGACCTGCGGTCCTGAGAGACCCGGTTTCGGTTCCCGCTAAGGGCACGTACCTCGGTTGCAGTTTGTCCCCGGCCCTGGTCAGTTGTGCGGGTGGCAGCCACTCGATGTGTTCCTTTCATGTCGATGTCTCTCTCTCTCTCTGTTCCTCTCTCTCCCTCCCACTCTACCTGAACAAAAAATGGAAAAATGTCCTCGAGTGAGGATAAAAAAATATATATATATATTTTTTTAAATTGATTTTTTAAAGAGAGAGGAAGGAAGAGATACACTGATCTGCTGCCTCCTGCACGCCCCCTACTGGGGATCGAGCCTGCAAGCTGGGCATATGCCCTGACTGGGAATTGAACTGGGACCTCTCAGTCCAGGGGACAATGCTCAATCCAGAGCCACACCAGCCAGGAGAAAACAGTATTCTTTTTTATCCTCACCTAAGGACATTTCTGCATTTATCCTCAGACAGAGCAGGAGGGAGAGAGGGAGGAAGAGAGAAACATCGATGTGAGAGAGACACATCGACTGCCACCCACACGACCCCAACCGGGACCAGGGACAAACTGCAACCGAGGTACGTGCCCTCGGTGGGAACCGAACCTGGGACCCTCTGGTCCATGGGCCAATGCTCTAATCACTGAGCTAAACCGGCCAGGGCAAACAGTAGATATTCTTAAGAGCCCCTTTGTTCTCAGGACACGGTCCAGGGCCTGCCACCCTGATGACCCTCCACTGGAACCTGCTGAAGGGCTTCCTCTGCACTAACCCGCCTGCCATGTCCCTGCAACCGGACACCATCCGCGGCCTGCTCAGCGGCCGGGCTAGCTGCTGCCTGGAGGAGTTAAGGTAAGCCTTAAAAAGGTCACGGCAGCTGTATGACCCTGGGCAATTTCACTTTAGCTCTTGTGTCTCAGTTTCCTCCTCTATAAAATGGGATAATAGCAATAGTTACAGGACTCTGGTGAGAACTATGCTTGGCACACAGTGCGACATCAGGGTCTGCCACTATGACCTTGAACACCAAGCCCATCCATGTCCACTGGGAACGAACACAACAGGGTAGCTGATGTGAGCCCCACAGGGTAGGAGGGATTGCTGTTTTTGGTGGCATGGCACCCCACACCCTGGGGACTACTGAGGGGTCTGCCTGCCCTGACTGACCTGTCCTCACGTCCATGACCACCCTCCCCCCGTCCCTGTCTCACTGGGGGATGTGCCCCAGGGGCCTCTGAACGGAGGCCTGTTGGACTCAAAGCCAGGCTGCCTGTGCCGGGATGTTCTGATCACCCGTGTGTGTGGACGGCTCCTTGGCGCATGTCCTGCGTCACCTCAGCCGTCTCAGAGCGCTTGCCACCCAGTCTCCGGACTCACCCAACCCAAGCCCCAGGTTAGACACTGCCGCAGGGCCCAGCAGGCTCCTGTGTGCTGGCCCCCAGCTCAGGTGCTGGCTGCGGAGTTTCTTCCATCAGTTGAGGACCCCAGCCCTCCCGAGTTCTTGGCTGTGGCACTTCCAACAGCACCAACAGGCCACACCTGGGACTCTGGGAACCATCTCCCGGCCCCATGCCCACCTGTCCGGGCTGGGAGCCCTCCTAGCCCACTCGGCTTCGTCCCAAGGCTGTGAACGGGAATGAGCAACCAGCTTCGGGACTTACCTGGGGCCACTACTTGGGGTAACAGATCGCATGCTGACTCCCGGGGGCCTGCACCCTCTCACGGACTCACAGGTGCCCAAGGACACCTGGCTTATGGGCAAGGCCTTGCAGAGGAAGAACTGGGCATTCCAGGGGAGGAAAACAGGTCCAGGAGACAAGCTTCAGTTCTAATGCTGCCTCCATCACCTCCAAGCACCTGCCCCCCTCTCTGCCTCAGTTTCCTCACGTGTACAAGGTGGGTCAGACTCCCTGCCACAGAGCACAGGACTCGCGGGACGGGGCAGACGTGTGAACACTGGCCCTGCATGCCCAGCCCCACTCAGGCTCCTGCCTGCACTCAGGACGCCCGAGGCAGGCGCCTGGGACAGAGCTCCTCCCCACCCGGCACTGCCCACCTCTGCTGGGCTGCCCCTCGCCTGGGACAGAGCTCCTCCCCACCCCACGCTGCCCACCTCCGCTGGGCTGCCCCTCGCCTGGGACAGAGCTCCTCCCCACCCGGCGCTGCCCACCTCCGCTGGGCTGCCCCTCACCTGGGACAGAGCTCCTCCCCACCCCGCGCTGCCCACCTCCGCTGGGCTGCCCCTCGCCTGGGACAGAGCTCCTCCCCACCCCGCGCTGCCCGCCTCCGCTGGGCTGCCCCTCGCCTGGCTCTCATCTCCCCCGGCACCGCCCTCAGCGCCGCCTCCAAGGCCCGCTGCTGGACAGCGTGATCCTGCTGTGTCCCGAACACTGGGCTCATCTGCCAGGTGTGCCCTCTGCACTCGTGACCTGGGAGCTGCTTGGAAAGTGGGGTCCTGGGAGCAGTGCATGGAGGGGCGTCCAGAAGGAAAGGAAACGCACTCGGTGCAGGACAGACAGCTGAGAACAAGCAGGGCAGGGCGGGGCGCCCAGGAGGGGACGGCTCCTCTCTAAGGAAGCAACCACGTCAGAGGCCGAGAGAAGCTGAGTGTTCTGCAGGAAGGCCCCGGAGACCATCTGCCCAGCCCTCCACTCTGCAGGTGGGCTGAGCGATCTGCCCGAGGTGCCTGTCTCCATGGTGAAGTACGGACGGCACCCCAGCCTTTGGCCTCCCTCTGCGGTGCTCACTGCACCCCACTCCCAGGCCCTCACATACTCCCAAAGACCCGTTACACTGCCGTGGGCCCAGGTGTGGAAGAGTTCCAACCTTCTGTCTGGATAGGGTCTGTAAGGCCGTTCCTGTCAACACCCACCTCCAGGTGTCCTGAAACGACCCTGCAGTCCGGAAAGAGGTAGTTGGCCACCTCACACACAGGGTTCTCTATGCCCAAAGTCTCACAGTGCTCTCGGGCTTCCAAACAGGCGAAGGTGAACTTGGACTGAGGCTGGCCGAGGACGGACAACATCCCGCTGGGGACAGCTTCCGAGGCTCCCTGCATAGCCTCAGCTCGGACCTTCACGGCATACAGACCTGTCCAGAGAGAAGTGCATTGGGGAAGTCAGGGCACGTAATGGAGGAGGGAAGCCCGACCTGTGAGACAAAGCGCCGTGTGCTGACGCTGACTGGCATTTGTCACCAGGCCACACACTATCGTTCTGTGTGTCTGTGTCTATCACACGGGGGTGTACCACTATCATCAAAGGTAGGGTGCTGTCCTTGGCACAACACAAATGAGCCCACGGAGCTCCTGCCTTAAAGCTGGCTGGGTGTAGGGTCTGACCAGGGGTGACTTGCCCCCAGGGCAGTGTCTGCAGACATTTCTTGATTGGCACAACGGGGGCAGGGGTGGTTCCATTAGCAGCTGCTGGGCAGAGGCCAGGGATGCTACTCAACATGCAAAGCACCCCCCGAAAAAGAATGCTCTGGTCCAAAATGTGAACAGGGCCACTGCCGAGAAACTGGTGTGCAGCAAAAGGAAGACTTTCGGGCTCCGCTGCTGTGGGCGAGTCATCGCCTTCCAGGCCCAGTGTTTACTTAGTAAAACAAGGGTAACAGTATGGAACCTGCCTGGACTGTTGTGGAAAGTGGGAAGTATTATTAAAAAATTTTTTTTTTCTTTATTGATATTTTAGAGAGAGAGAAAGGGAGAAGTAGGGAAAGATAGAAACATTGATGAGAGAAAACATCGACTGGCTGCCTCCTGCATGCCCCCCACTGGGGATCGGACCCACAACCTGGGCATATATCCTGATCAGGAATTGAACCAGCATCCTCTTGGTGCATGGTTGGACACTGAACCACTGAGCTACACTGGCCGGGCGGGAAGTATTATTATTAGCATTATTTTTTATCCTCACCCGAGGACATTTTTGCATTTATCTTCAGATAGAGCGGGAGGAAAAGTGGGAGGAAGAGAGAGAGAAACATCAATGTGAGAGAGACACATCAACTGGTCGCCACCCATATGACCCCAACTGGGGCCAGGGACAAACGGCAACCAAGGTACGTGCCCTCAGCGGGAACCGAACCCAGGACTCTCTGGTCCACAGGCTGACGCTCTAACCACTGAGCCAATCCAGCCAGGGCAGGAAGCATTATTAACTCATTTATTATTTAAGAGAAATCATGTTGAAGGGGAAAACAAGAGCCATGAGATACTGGAATGATGTACAAGCTACAATTACTTGAATTCAGTAACATAATTATTATAACTCAAGCACCACTGCCCTCACTCAGAGCTGGAGGACCTGCACCGCCAAGGCAGACAGACTAAAACACAGGGCTCCGGGTCCAGTGTGGCTCAAGTGCGAGGTGAGAGGACAGGGCTGGACCCAGGCAGGCAGCTCCAGTGGGCTGACACAGGGATGACCTGTGAGTACTGGACATCCATCGTCCTTGTCCTGGGTCTGCCCCTGGCTGGGAGGGAGATGACCAGACCAAGGAGAAGAGGGGATCAGTCCTGGGTTTGGGGAGACAGCGGGGGGGCGGGTCTGACGAGCAAGCCTGCCCTGTCCCTCACAGCCTCACCCACTCAGTACTGACACACCAGTGCCGCGCCCCGAGCCCCTTGCTGTGTGGCAAATCCGGAAGAGCCTGCGGGAGGAAGTAGCGGAGACACAAGGCACGTGGGGAGAACATGGGCAACCCACACACGCAGGCATCCAGTAAACATGGACCAGAATGTACACCTGCTGCAATTCTGCAAATTACTCACATAAAACTGTGTACGTGTAAGCGTTTTATTAGTGTGTGGAAATATGAAACTGTTTTTCATTTCCTCAATAGTTTTGTATTAAAAAAAAACACCAGCCCTGGCCGGTTTGGCTCAGCGGTTAAAGCGTCGGCCTGCGGTCCAGAGAGACCCGGGTTTGGTTCCCGCTAAGGGCGCGTACCTCGGTTGCAGTTTGTCCCCGGCCCTGGTTGGTCGTGCGGGTAGCAGCCACTCGATGTGTCCCTTCACGTCGATGTTTCTCTCTCTCTCTCTCCCTCCCGCTCTATCTAAACAAAAAATGGAAAAATGTCCTCGGGTGAGGATAAAAAAAAAAAAAAAAAACACCGCCCTGGCCTGTTTGGCTCAACAGCCTGCGGTCCGGAGAGACCCGGGTTCAGTTCCCGCTAAGGGCGCGTACCTTGGTTGCAGTTTGTCCCCGGCCCTGGTTGGTCGTGCGAGGTGGCAGCCACTCGATGTGTCCCTTCACGTCGATGTTTCTCTCTCTCTCCCCCTTCCTCTCTCTCCCTCCCTCTCTATCTGTACAAAAAATGGAAAAATATCCTCGGGTGAGGATAAAAAAAAAAAAAAAAAAACCAAGGTGAAATTCACATAAAATAAAAGCAGTTTCAAGGGTATGACACAGTGGTATTTGTTGTATTCATAACATCTGCAACCCCCAGCTCCCTAGTCTCTAGCTTCAAACCTTTCCACCATCCCGTAAAACACCCAACCCGCTAAGCGTGATCACTCCCGGCTTCTCCTTCCCTCCACCCCCAGGAACCATGCACCTGTGGTTTCTCTGGATTTGCATATCTGGACATTTCATACGAAAGGGATCACACAGTATGTGCCTTTGTGACTGGCTTCCCACTGAGCATGTCTCTGAGGTCCATCCATGCTGTGGCCTATCAGTGCTTCATTCCTTCTCGTTCCTAATACTCCGTTGCACACACAGTTAGATTGTCCATCCACCTGATGGGCATTTGCAGTGTCTCCACCTTTAGGCTACTATACACATGGCTGTTTAAACCTCTGGGCACAAGCTTTTCTGGGTGGACACAGGTTTTCACCTTAGGTACAAACCTCTGACTACAACTCTTGGCTCATATGGTAACTGTTTCGCCTTCTGAGGAACCACCAAACTTTCCCACAATGGCTACACCATTGTACATTCTTACAGTAATGTGTAAGGTTCCTATTTTTCTTTTCGTCCTCACCCGAGGATATTTTTCTATTTATCTTCAGATAGAGTGGGAGGAAGAGAGAGAAACATTGATGTGAGAGAGACACGTCGACTGGTTGCCTCCCACATGACCCTGACCAGGGCCGGGGACAAACTGCAACCGAAATACGTGCCCTTGACTGGAATCAAACCTACAACTCACTGGTCCATGGGCCGACGCTCTAACCACTGCGCCAAACCAGCCAGGGCAAGGTTCCTATTTTTCTACATCCTTGCCAACACTTACTATTTCTCATTTTGTTGTTGTTTAAATGAATGCCATCCTAGTGGGTGTGAAGTGGTATCTCACTGAGGTTTTGGTTTGCATTTTCCTGATGACTAGTGATGTTGAACATCTTTTCATGTGCTTATTGGCCATTTATGTATCTTCGTTGGAGGAATGTCTACTCAAGTCTTTTGCCACAGCCTCTCTCTCAGGTTCCTGTCTGCACTCAGCATGCCACGAGGCAGGCACCCAGGCCAGAGCGGCCAACTATAAGCAAAAATGTTTAACTTTTACCTATATGCAAAACTCTTCAGAAGTGAAACTGATATGGCTTAAGATCAAACACCCACTTGCTCTTTTGTTCAGTGAGTATGTATGGAGCTTCGACCATGTGACAGGAACTGAATGTGTGAGAGTGGACCAAGAATGCACAGGAGTGGGGAAGACAGCCCAGCAAGCCGATTTCAGGAGATTACAAAAAGAAAGGAAATCCCTGGTGAACCCTTTAGGCTTCAAAAAGAACCAAGTGGCCCTGGCCAATTTTTCTCAGTGGTTAGAGCATCGGCCTGCAGACCAAAGAGTCCCAGGCTCGATTCCTGCCAAGGGCATGTACCTCAGTTGTGGCCCTGGTCAGGGTTGTACGGGAGGCAACCAATCAATGTCTCTTGCACTGATGTTTCTCTTTCTCTCTCTCTCTCTCTCTTACTCCCTCCCTCCTTCCCACTCTATCTGAAGATAAATGGAAAAATACCCTCGGGTGAGGATTAATAAGAAAGAAATAAAAAAGATTATCTTTAACAACAACAACCAGAATCAAGGTGAAGTCTGGCCCTAGGGTTCCAATGTCATCCTCATCCAAATGCTCCTTCTCTATCACCCACGTGGGTCCAGAATTATCTTTGGCAGTGTTCCTTATCCCCAGTGAGCCCAGCAAGGTAACACCCCTGTACCAAACAGACCCCTTTCTGTGTACCTTCAGAGAACTCCATGGCTCCGGCAAACACTAGGGCTGCAAACTCCCCCACACTGAATCCAGCAGCAGCGACACAGTTCTCAATAACCTGCGGTGACAGAGCAGAATGTGAGGCCCCGTTCTCAGGAGCTCCGTCCGGGCTCTGCACGAGAGCTGGCCGTGACTCAGTGAGCCAGGTTCAGCTGGCCTGGTGCTCCAGCTAGAGGACACACAGAAGTGGCCTTGACAATCGCTGGTCCCTGGCAAGTGAAAGCCCACTGCTGACTCCGAGGTAAAGTGATGACTCCGACCCAGAGTCCTGGGCTCTCTTGTCTCCACCCTAGAGCTGCCTCCCAGGCCGACTGAACCGGGAGGAGCTAAGCATAGAGGTTATAAAGTATGACTTTCAGAGTCACAGAGAGTTGGATTTGAGTCTTAGTTCCGGATAGTCCCCTAACTTCTCTGAGCCTGTTATCTCATGAAATGAGGAAACAGCAGGACCTAAGTCACAGGGCTGCTGAGAGACTGGATGAAGGTAATGTCTCTAAAGCACTTAGCACAGACCTGGCCCGAAAGCACTCAGTGAATGGTATCACGACTCAACAGGACCACTGGACTATAAGTCGCCTTTCCTCACCCACAAAAGAACAGCATTTTCCTCACAAGGTTGCTGAGGACAGAATGGAGGAAAAGGTTTAAAGTACTAGCTAGCCCCGCCGGTGTGGCTCACTCAGTGTGGACCGACAGGTTGTCGGTTCGATTCCCCATCAGGGCACATGCCCAGGTTGTGGGCCCTATCCCCAGTGGGGGGCATGCAGGAGGCAGATAATCTCTCATCAATGTTTCTATCTCTCTCAAATCAATAAAGAAAAAATATATTTTTTAAATTTTTTTATCCTCACCCGAGGACATTTTTCCATTTTTGCCCAGACAGTGGGAGGGGGAGAGAGGAAGAGCGCGCGAGAGAAACATCGACGTGAAAAGAACACATCTGAGTGGCTGCCTCCGGCACAACCCCAACCCGGGTGGGGACAAACTGCAAACGAGGTACTTGCCCTTAGCGGGAACCGAACCCGGGTCTCTCTGGACCGCGGGCCGACACTCTAACTGCTGAGCCAAACCGGCCAGGAGAAAAAAAATATTTAAAAAAATAAATAAGCACTAGCTTAACATTTACTGTCCTGATAGTATTAAGTCATAATAGCAATCAATGCACATCAATGGAAAGTGAAGTGCCATTCTCAGAGATTCTCCCAATGATCATTAACGATGATGTTCAATCCTTCCAACATCATTTAGTAATTAATTAAATTATTAAGGACCATTTACAGTTGCAACCGGGCCCTTGCCTCTCCAGCCCCTCTCCCTGCTCTGTTTCCCTTCCTATACCACTTATCATCTTAAACATACTATGTAACAATGTACGGGCGCCTTTATTATGTGTCTCCCTCCCCAAACATGCAAGCTCTCCGAGGGCTGGGATCCTTGTTTCTTTGTTGATGGCTCTATCTCCAGCGCCTGGCTCGAGTGGGACCTCAGAACGCGCCCACCAGGCCACACGTGGGCGCAGTCCGGCTCCTGCGAGAGCCGGAGCTCGGGCCTCACCGCGGGCTGCAGGTGCTGCAGTTTCTCCACGGCGGCCAGGGAAGCCACGAAGACGGCGGGCTGGCAGTGCGCGGTGCGGTCCAGGGCCTCCTGCGGCCCGCGCAGGCTCAGCTCCAGCAGGTCGTAGCCCAGCACGCGGCTGGCGGCGGCGTAGAGCTCGCGCACGCGCGGGTAGCGGAGCAGACCGCGGCCCATGCCCACCACCTGGCTGCCCTGGCCGGGGAAGAGCAGCACCGAGCACTGGCCGGGCCGCCGCCGCGCCGCCGCCTCCCGGGGCCTCTCCTCCGCTGGGGTCGCATCTCGCAGCAGCGCCGCCGCGTCCACCGCGCCGGGCGGCGGCCGGAAATTCGAGGCGCCGCGGCGACAGCCCGCACCCCAAACCCAGGCCCTCAGAGTCCGCGCGACCCGGACGCTCATGCTGAGGAACCGGCCCCACGCGCGTTACCGGGGCGACCGAGGTCCGACTGCGGCGGCGTGCGCGGTCCTTGACGCATTTCCTTCCGGGCAGCCCGGGCACCCGGGGCGGGAAGAAAGGTTCCGCGGTTCCTGGTTCCGCCCCAGCTCCGAGGCTCTTCTCTGTCTTAAACCCCCACGGGCAAGACCGAAACGCGACACTGCACCTCAGTGAGCCCTCAGAAATACTTAGTGACTACACAGCGCAACGCAGTGCAGTATTCACTACCTCGCACGTGAACAGTGCTTGCACCGCTTCCACATTTCGTCTTAGTGCTTATTTGATTCTCCCAGTTACACCGGGGTGAGCAAGACAGCAGCTCTTTCTTGTTTCCTGCAAACCAGACAGTGCACGGCACATAATACACACCCGATGAAGACTTGTTCCATTGCACAAAGCCCTGGATATTTTTCAGACATTAGCTTATTTAATTTCTCACAGCCACATGATGATGAATAGGCACTATTAGAATCTTCAGTTTATGGATGAGTAGACAGAGACTCTAAGATTGAGTGACAGCTGGTTAGTGACAGAAGGGGGATGGAAATTGGGGTTCCCTGGCTTCTGAATGCTGGTGTGAGGGTGGGTCAAAGAGAGTCTAACTCTTGACCTCCCGCTAACCACACACACGCACCTATCACCCTGCTTCTCTCTCATTTCCTGCCAACCTCTTCTAAAGAGCCCAGGATACACACCTCATAATGAGAGAGATCGAGTACAAAGACGTCAGCAAATCTTCAGTGAGTTTGTCCTAAGGACACAAATGAGCAAAGCCCTAACTCTCAGGACATCATGGCAGCCTTGCATTCGACAAGGAAAATGTGGCAATAAGCTGTGTTCCCAACTAGAGGAGATGAAATGAATTATGGCAAATCTATACAATGCTGTGGTCATAAAAGATATGGAGGAGTTTCATGTTGAGACGTGAATAGAGCACCCACTGCCTCCAGAAGCCCATAAACCCACAGTAAAGGGATCTTTTAAAGACATAAATCCACAAGGACAGGGAGAACAAGAAAGGGGGCCCCTGCAGCAGAATCTCTGGAAGCTGGAAAGCAGGTAGACCAGTATTACCTGCCTCAGCAGATCCCAGGCTACCAGATCCCTCCCAGCAGTGGAGCTGAGAACCAACCTTTATTCAGGCAACAAGATCCTCAAAAGTCTAGGAACTGGTAGCACTAGCTGCTTCTAGATCTAAGGGTGAAAGAAGGCTAAAGTAAGGAGGACTAGTTGAAGGTGTCTTTGAAGAACCCTTAGATCTTTGCCCCACGCCCCAGCCACTGGGTGATGCCCCTCCCCCATTCAGCAAATATCTGAGGGTTAGCTCTGGAAAGGGTTAGGCATGCCAGGGACAGTGGTGCATGTGGGTGCTCTGCCAAAACAGGTGGGTACTGATGCTGAATGCAGAGACGTCCTCCAGTGTTCTCCCCCACTAAGCTCCTGGAAACCTGGAACCAGGACCCTACCCTCCAGACAAGTGGCTGGAGAACCTTGGGGAATCAGTCCAAGAAGAAAATCCTAAAGATGTTGACAGTCCAGGAATTTCCCAGACAAATATCCCACCAGCTTCAATTTACAGTGAAGCTAAACCAACAGATAGCATCCACAGACTTATTTTCCTCCTTTTTTCCAGTCATGAGCACCCATCTGAAGATTCCCAGGTATCCGAGGAAATCCTCTTGCAAACAGAAAACAAAAACTACGTAGGATTCAGAGACTAAAGAAAGCTATCATTGCCCAGCTGGTGTGGCTCAGTGAATTGAGTGTCCTCCCATGTACCAAGAGGTCACAGGTTTGATTCCCAGTCAGAGCACGTGCCTGGGTTGCAGGCTCGATCCACAGTAGGGGGCGTTCAGGAGGCAGTGGTTTGATGTTTCTCTCTCACATGATGTTTTTATGTCCTTCTAAAATATCAATAAAAATATTTAAAAAAAACTATCATTGAAGTAAGAGAAGACACTGCATCCATGAAAAAGGAATAGGAAGTTATATTAAAAAATAGCATTCAGTCCAACTGGTGTGGCTCAGTGGTTGAGCATCGACCCATGCACCAAGAGGACGCCAGTTCAATTCCTGGTCAGGGCACATGCCCAGGTTGTGGGCCTGATCCCCAGTGGGGGGCATGCAGGAGGCGGCCAATCGATGTTCTCTTTCATCGATGTTTCTATCTTTCTCTTCCTCTCATTTCTTCTCTCTGCAAAATCAATAAAAAGGGGGAAAAAAAGCATTAAAAAAACAAAAGGTAATCTCTGGAAATGAAAAATAGGAGAGTAGACTGAAAAACTCAAGAGAAGGCCAGGAAGAGAAAGTTGAGGAAATCTCACAGAAGGTAAAGCAAAAGCAAAAACAAAAACAAAAAACCCTAGCATCCTAACATGGAAAATAGAAGAGAAAAGGAAGTTAGAAGAACAGCCCAGAAGGCCCAGGTATTGAGTCACTGGGCCTCCAGAAAAAGAAGTGAGAAAACGGAGGGAAGGAAATCAGCAATTTGTTTTAGTTTCTGGAAAATAGAGCATATGGGTTTTCTGTATGAGAGGCCGCTACGTGCTGGCATGATGGATGAATTTAGGCCCATACAGAGGAATATCAGTGTGAAATTTCAGGACTCTGGAGACAAAAAAAATCTTAAAATCTTCCAGGAAGAACAAAATAGGTTACATACGAAGACTCAAAACACAGACTAGCCTCGGCCTTCTCACCAATCCTGGCAGCTGGAGGACCACATCTTCATGATGCCAAGGGACAAATATCTCCAACTTTGAGTTCTGACTCATCCATTTCCTGGCCAGTTTGCTCAGTGGTTAGAGCGCCGGCCGGCAGACCAAAGAGTCGTGGGTTCAGTTCTGGTCAAGGGCACGTACCTCAGTTGCAGTTCGGTCCCCAGCCCTGGCTGGGGTCATGCGGGAGGCAACCAGTGGATGTGTCTCTCTCGCATCGATGTTTCTTTCTCTCCCTCCCTCCCTCCCACTCTATCTGAAGATAGATGGAAAAATATCCTCAGGTGAGGATTAAAAAAAAAAAAAGAATTTTTACTCAGCCAAGCATCAATCAACCATGTGGACAGTGCAAGCTTTGCAAACGATACTGCCTATGCAGTCTTTCTCACGAACTCCTGGAGGATGGGTTCATCACAAACACGGGGGAGGGGCAAGAAAGGCACGGAGGTGGGTAAAGGTAGGGCAGTCAGCCTGACCTCAGCTTGGCAGGGCCTTGAGTGCCAGGTGCAAGGCTTGGATTGGCTCCTAAGGCAGTAGGAGCCATGGAGGGCGTGGAAGGGAGCTATGGGCCAGCTCGGGGCTGTGGCAGCTGCCCAGAGGAGGGACAGTCACGGCTGCCCAGGTTCAGGATGGGTCTGTGGGTTGGAGAGGAGGGAGGCAGAAATCATGGGAGGCTGGCAGGCAGAGCAGGATGGGGCACACGCATCTGTATCCAGACCTGCGGTGTGAGTCCCTTGTTAGCTCTTAACCTCCATGTTACTGCCCTAAGCCTCTCATTCCAGGAAACCAAACCCCATCACTCCAGTCAGGCGGAAGGAATGACGGAACCACCCTAACCCACCTCAAACTGCAAACAGTCACTGGACAAGAAAAACAGTTTCAGGAGACCCCAACCCCTGACCAATCAAGAACTCGGGAGACCCCCAGGTCTGACCAATCAAAGACGACCACGTCTCCTCTGCTGAACGACCACCCCCCCAGCTCTGAGTTTAAAAATCCCTAGTCTGGCCCTGGCCGGTTTAGCTCAGCAGTTAGAGCGTCGGCCTGCGGTCCTGAGACACCCAGGTTCGGTTCCCGTTAAGGGCATGTACCTCGGTTGCAGTTTGTCCCCGGCCCTGGTTGGTCGTGCGGGTGGCAGCCATTTGATGTGTCCCTTTCACGTCGATGTTTCTCTCTCTCTCTCTTTCTGTTCCTCTCTCTCCCTCCCACTCTATCTGAACAAAAAATGGGAAAATGTCCTCGGGTGAGGATAACAAAAAAAAAAATCCCTAGTCTGTACAAGCACCCTCTCCTCTCCTTAGAGGTAGCCCAGCAGGCTGATTCCCAATAAACCTGCACTGTGGAGACCCTGCACCGCCTCGTCTTACATCCCTCAGGCAGCAAACCCCTCGGAGCTGCAGGGTCTCACCGGGGAAAGGGTGTTAACTTTATGAGGGCAGGGCCCTGGGTTTGTGCTCAGCCTCTCCCTTTGGCCCTGGCAGGCAGCGGGTACCTGGGGACAGGAATCTCTGCCTGGAGCCCTGCAGGCAGAACAGGTGAGGCGGGAGGGAAACCACATTGCGGGTCTTACAGGGGAGGAAAATGTGCCATTCGGCCAAGCCATGGGTACCTCTGTGCAGGAGGAGGCTGAGGGCTGGCAGCTCTGGGGAGGCGTGGCCAGACTACCTGCACCAGGAACAGAGACACAGTGCCTGGAGCCCTCACGCTTTGAGGGACCCAGGCAATGAGGGACCCAGGCAAATACTTTAATTTCTTTTAAAATCAGAAGAAAAGGGTGATGGACTGTAGCCTGGATTATACTGGTCACTGTACTATTGCAGTCAAAGGGGCCCACAGAGACACAAACACCAGGGCCTAGAAAGCCAGACTGCGGAGCCTGGGGAGAGGAGGTGCCGGTCCCCTTGGCCCCAGCGCACACTGTGGGCAGTTGTGGCTCTTGCAGGCTGGGGGCTCTGCCACACCAAGTCAGCCCAAGGTGACAGGGACAGGCCCTGGGCTGCAATAATAAGGCGGTGTACAGAAGGGGAGGGGAGGTGCCCAAGGCCTGGGGCTGGGCGCGCCTGTCTCATCAAGGTGACCCTGGCAAACTGGAGGCCACCTCTGGGCTTTGATGATTGCAGCCGCCACTCACTGGGCACAGGCGTCTGCAAGGCGCATCGCCCTCGGCATCCTCTTTAGTCCCATGTTGGCGTGCCCATCTTACAGATGGGATGGAGACGGAAGAACCAGCCTCCAGGGACTGAGCCAGGACGAACAGCGCAGGCTGCCTCCGGCCCTGCTCCTTGGGAGAGGGTGGG